GATTCCTGATACAACTGGGCGAAGTCAGGCAACAGCTACCATAGATGCTGTAAAGACATGGAAACTGGAAAAAACACTTGTGGCAATGATTTTTGACACAACTCCATCAAATTCAGGTTGGATAAATGGTTCTGCAAAGTTAATTGAAGAACACTTTAACAAAAAGTTACTTTGGTGCGCCTGCCGACACCATATTTTTGAAAGAGTTTTGTCATCTGTTTACTTCAAAGTTTTTGGAGAATGCAGATCTCCAAATTATGAGCCATTTAGACACTTTAAAAATGAGGTATGGCCTAAGCTTTCATTAACTTCAGATACTACTTTTAGAAAAATAAAGATCGAAGAACCAGTATTAAAGACCAAAAAAGCAGAAGTAATAATTTTTTTGTCTGGTTTACTTAACCGGAAATCTCGAAAAATATTAAGAGATGATTATCGAGAATGTTGTCAACTTGCTTTGCAATTACTCAATCCAAAACAAATAAATATACAGTGGCACAAACCTGGAGCCTTCCATCATGCTAGATGGATGTGTACAATCTTGTACACATCAAAGATGTTTGCTTTTGCTGACCTGGCAGAGTATGAAGAAAGTTTTATAGAGAAATTGTCAAGGTTTTGTAAATTTACTTTACTATTTTATGTGAAAATATGGCTTACGTGCACAAGCACAGTCGATGCTCCATTTAATGACCTGGAATTCTACAAAGAAATGCTTATTTATAAAAAAATTGACAATGATGTTGCTGTTGCTGCCCTGGAAACATTTAATCGGCATCTTTGGTATTTAACTGAAGAAATGTCCCCTCTTTCATTATTTTCTGATAAGGTATCTGATCGAGATAAAACTAAAATGGCTAAAATAATTCTGAAAAATATAAAAGAAAACTGTGAACATGATATAGGCTTTCCACAATTTCCTCTTCTGAAGCAGAGTACTTGTTTGACTGATTTAATTGGACCAAAATCAAGTAACATTCTAAATTTATTCGGATATTCAAATGAGGATGGCGGTTGGTTGGTAGAATCCCCAAAGTTTTGGAAAACTAACACAAATTTTAATCACATGTTTGAGCATATCAAATCACTGAAATCTGTAAACGATACAGCAGAACGAGCTGTAAAACTAATTCAAGACTATGCAACATCTATTACAAAAGATGATGAGCAGAAAGAATTTCTTTTACGTGCAGTAGAACACCACCGAAAAGTTCTTCCTCACATAAATAAACAAGCAATTCAAAAACTTAATTTTTGAAAATATGCTTTAAAAAATCTCTTTTTTATTATACCTTTAAAATATTGTTATTTTGTTGTTATAATTTAAAAAAAATGAGATTTTGAACTTCTTAGTACTTATTCCCATTGTGCTTTAATATTGTTAACTTATACCAATCATTTCTATCCTTCTTTGTTTAATAATTGAGTATTTATCAAATTTTTTGTTTTAATTAAAAATTATAATTTATAAAATTCCTTATTTAGGCAGAAAAAAATCATACGACAAAGGTAATATTAGAAAGGATGGGGGGGGGGGGGGAGGGTCATAAACCAGGTGAAAATTTATTTTTAATAAATTTTCATTTTTATTTATTACAAAACTATTTGAAATTATAATAACAGTTAATTATATTGGATATAAATAATAGATATATAAAAGGAGTATATTAAGGATTGTTTTAGGGCAAAAACACATTAAAGGGGTTATGAGGGGGGAGGGGTCAAATATGAATTTTTTTTTGAAAATAACTATTGATTATGTTTTATCAAACAAAATTACACAAGAAAATTATATAAAATACGAACATAGTTGATTATCAAAAATAATTTTAGTCCTTTGTGTCATTTTTTTAGAAAAAAAACACAAAAAAAAGAGCGACGGGGGGGTCAAATATGAAAATTTTTTGATTTTTTTTTTTTTTTGCTTTTAGTAAATAAAAATACATATGAAACTGTTTGAAAATCTAGAAATAGTTAAAAACTAAAAAAATTCATGTCATTTTGGGACACCCTAATGTATATATATATGTATATATATATATATATATATATATATATATATATATATATATATATATATATATATATATATATATATATATATATATATATATATATATATATATATATATATATATATATATATATATATATATACAAATATGTATACAAATATAATTGCATATATATATAAACATAGTCATCTAGGTTAATAAATTTTCTTTTATTAGTTTTGAAAAAGTTTGAAATTACCGATAAAGAAAGATTGGCTAGTCCAAAACATAAGCTTGGTGGAATCGAAACAGAATTTCAATATTTAAATGAGGAGAAAGTTGTTCCTAGTAAGTTGTTTATAATTAACTTTGTCTATTATTTAATTAATTTAATCTAGCCAAGATTTTTATATCTTGAGCTTCATTAGCACATGAAGCTAAACAAACATTAATTTATATATATATATATATATATATATATATATATATTTTATTTATATATATATATATATATATATATATATATATTTTTATATATATATATATATATAAATTATATATATATATATATATATATATATATATATATATATATATATATATATTATATATATATGTGTATATATATATATATATATATATATATATATATATATATATATATATATATATATATATATATATATATGTATATATATATATATATATATATATATATATATATATATATATATATATATATATATATATATATATATATATATATATATATATATATATATAGGTTCAAACAAATTTGAAGTTAAAGAAAGAGAAAGTAGATAGTTTTTTGGATCCTGTGGCTTCTACTCCTAGTAAAATGATTGATGATGATAATAGAGATAGTTGTAAATGTGTTGAAAAGTTAAGAAAAATTGGTGATGGTGGAGTTTCGTTTAAAGAGATGCCAAATAAACGTGAGTTTTTTTGGTTAGCTTTTTATTTGCGTGAAAAAAAAATTGTTAAATTTTTTTACAATATCATTAAACAGCATGGCTGTTTGAGACTTGTTTGAACTATAAACCAAGAATATAAAACTGCTAATATAAAACATTCCTCTATGTTAAAAGATTCTTCCATGTATCTTTTAAGTACATGGATGTACCCATTAACTACTTTTTGCTAATTTTTTTGATTACATTTTTTGTTAAGAATTTCAATATGCTTTGTTCATGGATATCCAGAAAAATTTTCGCCAGATCCAAGATACGCAAGCTCAAATCCTAGATAGGCTTAAAAACATTGAACAAAGTGGAGATGTTGATTTTAGTTTGAATGTTGACGATATTGAAAAAGAACCAATAAGTTCAATTGAGAGATTCGATATTATTGAAAATATGTTAAAAACAAGCACAAATGCAAGAAAACGCAAGGTAACATATACTTCTATAGAAAGCGTCTTACACCAACCTTTTATTCCTTAAATAGTCTTACCATAACATTCTGAAATTTACGTCAACATTGCATGTTGGACGACAGTTTTTTTTGTGGAAAGTAATTTTAAACCATTAAAACTCAACTTTATAGATCTAACGTTTATTGCTTTTTTAATTCAGAATTTTAGTATTATTTATTTAATGTTTTATACTATTTTAATTATATATATATATATATATATATATATATATATATATATATATATATATATATATATATATATATATATATATATATATATATATATATATATATATATATATATAATGTATTCTTATATTAAGGCATTCTCTCTCTATCTATCTATATATATATATATATATATATATATATATATATATATATATATATATATATATATATATATATATATATATATATATATATATATATATTTATATTTATATTTATATTTATATTTATATTTATATTAGTACTTATAAAAACTTATATAAAAAAGGTCACTTATGCGCTCACAATATATTGTGACTCTATATGCCATTTTGTCACAATATTTAATACCATAATGGTATTTAAATTTGGATCAATATTTAAACATGTTTTTTATCAATTATTAAGGTTACTCAAATTAGAGCAGTTGGAGGAGCGACTCCACGGAAAACGATTAAAAATGTTTTGAATGCAGTCATGACCCAAGGTATTCAGGCATTGTTTAGCAAGGACGGGAGAAAAGGAAAGAGAAAATTTACAGACACTGCTCATTATAAATGCATAAAAGGTGAGCATTGAATGCGAGTTTGAAGCTATTGCATTTTATTTAAGACTGGCTATTTTTTCTAACAGTAAACAGAGGAACATGAAGCAGTAGTTCATTGCTTATTTTCTGCTATTCATTGTTTGCAAATATATTTGCGGTTTTTCGTTTTAATTTAGTTTTTTATGTACGACCTTCCAAAACTGATAACATAGTAATATACATTTTTATTGTTGTTGTTTTTATTTAATATAAATTTGTATTGGGGTATGTGATCTAAAATAATAATAACTATTATTATTATAAATAATTTGTTGACTTTTTGGTTTAAATTTTCTTTGTTTTGCTTTTGTTTTTAATTGTTTAATTGAAATTAGTTTTGATTTTCTAAAACGTGCCCTATAATTGACAGACATATTTGACACAAATATATTATTTTTAGAAGTCGTTGTTGGTGACAAAATTGGGTACGATGCAAGCAGTATCGAAGGTGCCGTTGGCGACATATTGAAACGAGCCAAAAAATAAAGTATTTCCTAGATTGTATTTGTTATATATGTTTAAAAATATTATTATTTTTATTTTTTGTAATGATTTGTGTCTTGAATCCCTAAACACGCGTGTATTCAATTTAGGCCCGTTGGGAAAAAAACTTCATTTCTTATACCAAAAGACCCCGTTTTTTATAGTTGTTAGAAATGGAGTCGGTATGAAAATTAGCTGAATAAAATACAACGTTGAATTCAACGTTTAATTTAATTCAGCTTAATCATTCATTATTAAACGGAAAAAATAACCTTTGGACGTCCGTAGGACGTCTATCGTGGACTTTTGAATAAACCGTTTTGGACGTCCTTGAACGTACTTTAAACGTCCGATATAGACGGACGAAAGTCGTTTCATTTGGTACGTCCAATGGACGTCCGAGGACGTAAATTATGGACGTCCGAACGGACCGGTATGGACGTCCTTGGACGTACTATGGACGCCCGCGTGCCCACTGGGAACTTAAAGCACGAGTTTTCGGTTTAACTGAACAGATGGACGCACTGGACCATAACATTTTACACAAAAGCGCGAACTACAACAATACAGATTACGACAGCTTACGCGCGGTTTTAAAAATAGAACATGCATTTTAATAGAATAGAACGTGAAAGAATCGAAAAAGCAAAAAATCAAAGTTTTAGAAAAAAAACAAAGTTTTAGAAGAAAAAAATGGTTTTTAGAAAGGAAAGGAGAAAAAAAGTAAAAAGGAAATAATATGAAACCTTACAATTTTTCTCCAGCACTTTTTATGAGATCATATTTTTCGTAGTCGAAAATTAAATCGTTGTTTTGTTCTTCAGCGATTTCAGAAGAACACGTTCCTTCCATTTCAACGTCGTTCATTACCTGTGTTTGATTTGGAGTGACTTGTTTTGATGGTGTTTCGCCTTCTCGCAAGTCGTTTTGGCTCTTTCTTTTGGGTTTCGTTGATTCTTTTGTATCGCAGACGATTTGAGCAACTACTTCATTTTAAGTTTTTTGAACTGCTTTCTTGGATTTCAAAACCTCTAATTCTTCAGGCTCAGTTTGTTTAGGTGAAGATTGAGTGGATGGTTCTTCGTCGGTTTCCTTCACACTTTCCACTACCTCTGAATTTTTTCCTTGGGATGTATCAGCATCAGTAGGTTTTTCAGTTGTTTTTAGTCGACTTTCCGGTTGTCCGTTGTGTTTGTATCGTAACGTTAAACCGTCGACATTTTCAAAACGTGGAAGTGGGTTGGCATATGTATTAGGTTGACCGGAAAGTAATGTCGTTTTTGCGCATGTTGACATTCGATAATCGTTGGCCAGTTTATTGTGTATCTCGAACACGTGCACAGGTTATTTTTATATTAGTGTGACTTGTTTACTTCTAAATTATTTAAAATTAAATAGTTTTCTTTGCAAATTGGAGTGAAATGGCATACGAAATACAGGAAGTACATATTCGTCATTGTATGCTTTTTGAATTTCGCAAGGGTAATAACGCTACAGTTGCGACTAAGAACATTAGTGATGTTTACCCAGGTTCATTAGATGTTCGCAAATGCCAAAGATGGTTTTCCAAGTTTAGATCTGGGAATTTTGATCTTTCTGACGCCCATCGACCAGGAAGACCAATGTCATTAGACAACGATGTTCTAAGGGCAGAAGTTGAAGCAAATCCATGCCAAACCATCGAAGAATTGTCGAACACCCTTAACCAACCTTGGTCGACCATCCAAGAACATTTACACCAGATAGGAAAAATCAGCAGAGCAGGTGTTTGGGTCCCCCATAACTTGTCAGTGCAAAACAAAGCCAACAGATCAACCACGTGCAATGCATTGATTCAACGGCACCATGCAGAACCGTTTCTTGATCGTTTGGTCACTGGAGATGAAAAATGGGTCCTATACGATAATTCAAAACGCAAAAGGCAGTGGCTCTCCCCAAATGAACCAGCACGCAGTACTGCAAAGCCGGGATTACACCCCAAGAAGGCGCTCCTGTGTGTTTGGTGGAGCATCCGCGGAATCGTCCACTTTGAAGTGCTTATTCCTGGACAAACTGTTAATGCGGACCTTTATTGTCAACAATTGGATCGAGTGAACCAAGCTCTAGTTGAGAATTACCCGGCTATCGTCAACAGAAAAGGTGTCATTCTTCAACATGATAATGCAAGGCCGCACTGTGCACGACGGACGCTAGAAAAAATTAATGAATTGGGATGGGAGGTGCTGCCCCACCCTCCATATTCACCTGATATCGCCCCTTCAGATTTTCATTTGTTCCGATCCTTACAGCACTTTCTAAGTGACAAAAAATTTCAAACTTTGTACTGCTTAAAAAATGGCATCTCCAGATATTTTAATGACAAACCAATACATTTTTTTCGATCTGGTATAGAAAGTTCGATGGCAAAAGGTTGTGGAAAATGAGGGTGATTATATCATTGATTAAAAATAAATATTATAAAAAAATTATTTGTTTTAATTTGACGTAAAAATACGACATTACTTTCCGGTCAACCTAATACATATATACGAATGAATTTACCTTGAAAACTTGACGTGTCACCATAGTCATAAGAATAATATATTTCTTATGACTATGGTGTCACGGGTTTTATAACCCGATATAAAACTCCGGATTTAAAAGGTTTAGAATTCCCGATTATAATTATTATAATTTTGACTGTCAATAATATCACTATGTCATTTAAAACGTGAACCGCTATTTAAATTCATTTTTTACTATGCATCTATTATAACAGTTATATATTTGATAAATTTAATTAAGCTGTTTCTCAAAGAATGATCAGAATTTATTGAAGTTGTCTCGTGAAGAATGTTTCGGAGATTTTTTCAAAAGCAATATTCACATTTTTCTTTTGTTTCTGGTGTTGTAATTGGTCTACCTATATATATAACTTGTAAAGATTACTTTGGGTATATAGCTCGTGTTGAAGGAGCATCAATGCAACCAACATTGAATCCATGTCAAGAGTCAAACTGTGACGTTGTCTTCCTTAATAGCTGGATTACAGATTATGAAAGTTTCAAGCGTGGTGAGATTGTTGCAATTGCTTCCCCTTATCATAGAAACGTATCTTACATTAAGCGCATTATCGCTTTAGAAGGTGACATAGTTTGCACTCCACGTTACAAAAAAAATCATGTATTTATTCCTAAAGGTCATTGTTGGGTAGAAGGAGACAATAAGAGTGCGAGCTTGGATAGCAATTCATTCGGACCTGTATCAATAGGTCTTATAAAAGCTAAAGCTACTTATATTATTTGGCCTCCGCATCGATGGCAAAAACTAAGTTTTGATATGCCTCATAGTACAAACAATAACATACTTTCTGTCAATGATTAACTATAAATAAATAATAAAAAGGTTCAAAGCCAACCACTTCAGTTATAAAATAGACATTAGTGTAAGTGCAACATTATTAGTGAACAGAATTAGTTAAAAGTTTAACTATATTTTATTTAAAGTTAAAAGTCCACATATGTCAACATTACTACATACTGCACTACATAACTTTGCATATATCACACGTGCAGAAGTAAAACATATTAGTAATTACATATATACTATATGTTTATGTATACATATTTTACTGCAAATGTAATATAAGTATGTGTATATAAGTATACAATAATATAATGTTATGACTTATAACTTTTGTTATAAGTTTTATGAAATTTACAGCTTTTTTTAAAAAAGTAACTTTCTTATATAAATCAGCTTATATAAGTGACTTACAAAAATAAGTCAGTAAAAAAAAATTATAATTACGTACCAAGTATAAGATATTTTTAATGTATAAAATTTCTTATACAATCAAGTTTTATCTAGTTCAAATTCGGTATATGCAGCTGTATTATAGTTTTTAATGTTAAATCTTAATTGATGTTGTATATATGTATATATATATATATATATATATATATATATATATATATATATATATATATATATATATATATATATATATATATATATATATTCTAAATTTTTAATAAAGATATTAAGAATACATTAGATACTTTGAAGCATGAAATAATGCTTATTGCATAGATTTAATTTTTTTTATTGCTAATTAAAAAAGTTTATATAATAAATTTCTTGTTATAATCTTTATAAATTTATAAAGTTTATAACAAGTAATTTTTATTGAAGTTATAAACATTTCAGTAAAAATTACTGATAATAACTTAAAATTGAAAATAAAAAGATTTTATATAAATTTAATGATTTTACATATCTATATATAGCTTTTAGAAGTAAGGGATCATTCATGATCAATCTTTACGTACGTAACAAAGTTTTGTTTTGTATCGAGAATTGAACATAATTAAAATTTAATTATAATAATATTATTATGTATCTATAAGATAGTAACAATTCTTTTTTAAACATTTTATGTTGATAAATATTATTACATATATTGATTATTAATACTTTCATTGATTATTATATATATATATATATATATATATATATATATATATATACATATATATATATATATATATATATATATATATATATATATATATATATATATATATATATATATATATATATATATATGTATACATTATTTTAATATTTTTAATTTAGCATTAATTTATATATATATATGATTATTATTATTATATATATATATATATATATATATATATATATATATATATATATATATATATATATACACATTATTTTAATATTTTTAATTTAGCATTTATAATATTCTTTTTATACTTAAGATATTTACACTATTTTACAGGTTTACTAATATGGCATTAAAGTTAGCATCTAACCAAAAGTTACCATTCTACATTCTTTATAAAACTATCTTTAAAAAGCCTATCTTATATAATAACATTGTTAATTTAAGACATAAAAGCTACACTGAAAAAGCTCCATCTTTATTTAACAAAGATGAAGTAAATATGTTGAAAAAAACAAACTTGCCACCCAATATCATTGTCACAGAAGCATCAAATATAGAAAAAAATCAAGCTGCTGATAGTTTTTATAGTACATCAATTTTCTATGATGAGACTGTTTGCAAGTTTGTCAATTGCATGATGAAAGATGGTAAAAAAGCTGTTTCACAAAAAGTTATGCATGATACATTTCTAGCTATTAAAAAAATCCAACTTGAAAAATATCACAAATCTATAGATTCCTCAAATGTGGAACTTGATCCATTAAAGATTTTTCATGGTGCCATAGAAAATGTAAAACCTGTACTTGGTACTCAAAATATTAAAAAGAAGGGGAAAAGTTTTAAAGTTCCTTACCCATTGCCACTTAATAGGCGGAGGTTTTTAGCCAATAAATGGCTTTTAGAAAGTGCAAAAAAACTTCCTGGAAATAATGTACGAATGAGCCAAAAACTTTCAAAAACTATTCTTGATGCATATAGAAATGAAGGAAGTGCTGTTCAAAAAAAAATCGAATTTCATAAGCAAGCAGAAGCAAATAGAGCTTTAGCTCATTATAGATGGTGGTAATGACATAACATTTGTTTCAATGTAAAACTTTTTGAATTGAATAATTATATTTGAAACTTTAAATAGGAGTTATTTTAATAAAAAAATATTTTATTAGAATGTCTCATTTTTTTTGTGTTTATCTTAAAAATGCTGGTTTTTTTACTGTCAAAAGTTGGTTTGTTTTTTATAAATGTTAAATTTTTTTTTCATAAATAATTGTTTGTTTTATTACCAATGATCAAAACATATCTGCCTAATCGTATATGATCGGTTGTTTTTTGTAATCATATATGATTGGTTATTTTTGAAAATATTGTTAATATAAATCTTTTAATAAAATTTTAATTTTGTGGCAGTAAATAATGTCTGACAATTCTTTGTTAAATAAAAAACTTGATCCATATGGCACTTTATGGAAAAAGAAGTATATATTACTGCTTAAAAGAACAGAAGGCATTGAAAAGGTATTTTGCATTATTAGTTTTATTTCAATTATATAGCATTATTAGTTTAATTATATAGTTATATAGTTATTTAGTTCTTATATTGGCAAATTATATGGTCTGTGGGGTCATTAAAAATACCTTATAAAAAAGTGTCAAAGTTTTGTTAATTTTAGGATAATTGGTTAGGTTATAAAAAAATTTTTAAGTTATGTAATGATACTATGTAAACACAATAGTTACTGTTTCACTTAGAGCAGCTGCTAACAAGCTGAGAATTATGGCTAGAAATTTAGAGAATTATGGCTAATGCTTACAAAATTACAGAATTTATCATATGAATTGGTACAAGTTATGTTTATTTTTCACGTATATTATACAATATTTATTTAAATTGAGTTAGTGTATTCACAAAAAGTTCAATGTTCTAAAAAAACAGAGCAGTAATAAATTATTAAAAACACCTTACTTTTTTTTTTACTTTCAGGTTTGTCTGTTTAAAATACATAAAAAATAAGTAGATTTTTGATAGAATATCAAAAAAAACTTTCAAAAGTTGACTTTATATATGTTTTAGATTGAAATCATAAAAAACACAATTAAAAAAAAAAATTCTGATTCACTCCCAACAACTACTATTAAGTTGGGAATAACTAAAAAATCAGAAGAGTTAATTTTTTTTTTTTTTTTTTTGTTAATTCACTTCCCCAAGGCCGAGAAAGCCACTACAGACGAGAAGGCTACTTAATTCTGGTTATAACCCTCTCTCAATTCTATAACTCAGAAACATAAACCTTGTCGAAAAAGGCCACTGCGCAGAGAATCAAGTTGCATAAATAGCAAGAAAACGTTTGAGAGAAGACTTTAAAAGTTGTAAGTTGTATCAGTTGGAATCTATTTCACGAAACTATTTCACGAAGTCAGAAGTAACCATATTGAAATGAAGGAAAACAAACTTATTCTTCTTTATACGCAAAGTCAAGAAAATGTAACAATAACTTTATGTCCTACAATTACTTTGAAAGTTAATCAAATATTTTGCTTTGTTTTTATATACTTATAATTTTCTGTTTAAATAAAATGATGCCTTACATTGCTGTCTACATATTTTTTTTGGTTATTTTAGGGTATAAAATGTACTGATATTTTTGATATTTATTTAGAAATACTATATTAAGATGTAAATTTAAAGTAATAAAGTGTGCCAAACAAACATAAACATTAGAAGATTTTGGAAACCATTGCTTGCTACATGCACTACTATCTACAACACGGTTTCTTGTACTAAACCACTTTCTTCTAATGACTTAAATTCTTAATTTTTAATTGATGACTTAAGTTCTTAATTTTTTTTATGTTGTTAGTGTGTACTGCACAACAACTTTTTAGTATTAAAATTTTTTTTTTTCTTTAATGTCAAAAAAATGAGATTTTTGGCATTTAAAAAAATTGGAGGAAAAAAAGATTAGGGGAAAACAAAATAAAAGATTTTTAAATTTGTTTTCCCCGAATTCAAGAAAATAATTTTAAAACAATACTTTTTAATACAGTGTGGTGTCACAGTTCGATCTCTCTTAAACTACTCCATCATTAGAATCCCCCTATCATTTTACCTTCTTTCAACTACCTTTAATCTGACTGGGACTCTTTCCTAGATTTTCTTCATGATAACCCTTGAAGCCCTCGAAATTAGGGTCAGCATTCAGCAATGTTGACCTAACTGCCGATCTAAAAGTGTTTGAAGTTGCCAACTTATATTTTATATCTATATTTTATGGTAAGACCTTTGTATAATTTTTTTTTTTTTTTGCTGACTCGATGGCCTACCTCTAAAAAATTGAGGTCGGCAAATTGTTGCTGACCCCATTTTTCCTAATTCCGAGGGTTGCCCTTGGGTAAAAATCTTTTGTCTTCCTGCTGACAAATGCGCTTCTTACATAACTTCGTGGATTCAGGCTGGTATGGAATCTTTTATTCCCTCTCGACAGTTCCAGGTCAAGCCTCACTCTTCTCCATGGTTTTCCTCACATTGTGCTGCTGCAATTGCCAATCGAAACCATTAAATTCTCCAGAAATCAGATGTCTCTTTGCTATTGCTAGAAATCATTGTAAAAATGTTTTGTATAACACTATTCTCAGTTCATGAAATCTCATATTTCATCTTAAAAATTAGGCTCTCGTGACTTCTGGAGAACCTTTAACAGTATCAAAAATAAGGACAAGTCTGTTATTCCACCTCTCTTATATGGTTCAGATTTTTTTCACCTCACCTAAAGACTAAGCCGAATTGTTTGCTAATAACTTAATAATAATAATAAGCAGCTGTGGCGCAGTGGTAGCGCACTTGCCTCAGAAACGTAAGATTCTTGATTCAAACCCCACCTCTGGCAAGTTTTGCGACATCGGTTGGGAAGGAGGCGTGAACTTCCTATTAAATGCTTTTCTGCGGTGCTCTGTGATAAGACCGTAAGGGCTTCTTGGGGCACCTAAATCAACTTTTGTTATCCCCATTTTCAAAAATTCTGGAGAACAATCTGACTTGTCTAACTACCCTCCCATTAGTCTTCTATCCATAAGCAAGGTTTTTGAATCTTTAATTAACAAACACTTAATCTCTCATCTTGAATCTAATAACTTACTTTCTGATCATCAATATGGATTTTAATATTTTTATTCTACATTAGCTGATTTGCTAACAGTAATCATTGATAGGTTTATTTGATAGAGGTGGAGAGGTTAAGCTATCATTCTTGATATTTCTAAAGCTTTTGAAAAAGTTTGGCATGCTTTTCTTCTCCAAAAACTTTTTTTTTACTGTGCAGGTAACATCTTTAGGATTATTGAATCCTTTCTTTCCAATTGTAGTATAAAAGTTGTCCTCAATGGAAAGCACTCTTTTTCAAATTCAGGGGTTAGTAAAGGTTCTATCCGTGGCCCTTTACTTTTTTAATTTACATTAATGATTTTCCAGATATTTTCTTATCTTAGGTGGTATTGTTTGCTGATGATACTAACATTTATACTTGTCTTGATAAGAAGCTAGCATTTTCTGATTGCTTGGAGGGGGCATTTGAGCTTGAAAAGGATCTCACTTCTGCTATAACATGGGGTTCACAGTGGCTGGTGAATATGGTGTCCCAAAAAAAAAAAAAAATTTTTGTGCCCTATTAAAAACTTGGCTCTTATATGTAAAAAGACGAAATATATAAAAATATTGATCTGTGACAAGTGTAAGAGCTTGGTGTAAAACTTGAAATTTTCAAAAAATGTCAATTTTTGTCATATTTTTTTAGTTTTTATTATTTTAAATGTACCTGCAATGAAAAAAATGATGAAATTTATTTTAAAGTAGCATTATTTATCTATTATTTTTTAAATTAGTCATCTTTTACTTATACTTAACAATTTATTTCAATTTTTTTTCTTGAATATTGGTATTTTATTGGTTACCGCTATTTTTTACTTATTAACTTTTGATTAGTTTAAAATACATGTGATATAAAATTGTTTCATTATTTTTAGTTTCATAATTAAATTTATATTTTAAAAAATGGGTCGAACAGTAAAAAAATCCAGCAAAATAGAACCACGGGAAAAAGAAAAGTACACTGTTCAAAGCAGTTTAAGACGATCTCTATATCTATTAAAATATCCCATAAATGTGCTTCCAGGCAACCAGCCGCCCAGTTTCAAAAATATCTTGCAATACTTTCACTTTTTGAAATCTTCAAGGTTGTTTTATTATCTAGTTTTTATCTAATTTATTTACTTAACCTACGATTCATGAATATAAATATATATTTCAGTTGATTCTCTTATATAGGAGCACCAGATTTCAGTCCAGCAAAGAAATTATTGCCTGTCCAACAAAAACAGGAACCAGAAGTCTAGTTTGCCAATATAGAGCATGTAAAATATTAACCAATAGATGTGTAACTTTAGCTGTTACTGACATCTGGATAAAAGCTGGTTTTGTGTGCAACATTATTAGTGGAAGATCTGTTAGGTAAATTTTACAACAACAAAAATTACTATAGATTTATCTTGTTTTTAGTAACTTCAGCTATGTAATATTTTTCAGTGAAAGGATCCTAAAACTCACAGAGGAATATAACAAAATGAAAAGATGGAGTAAACTAAACTGGTGTTCAAGCAAAGGAATCTGGACTACAAAGCAAGTAGATTTCCAGGTGGAGATTGATACCTTATTTGATATATCTGCTCCTCAAATAATTGACATGTTAATGAAAGATCATAGAAGAACAGAAGAGGCAAAGAAAGAAGATGTAGCCTTCTACGAAGACCTAAAAGGAATCTAAAAGGAATATGGCCATGACTGCACAACAAGATAAAGAATTTGAAACTAGGGCTCTGCGAAGAAAGGAGAGATTTGAAAGAGTTAAAATGTTGAATGATCAGAAAAACTCAAAGGCTCAAAAAGAAAAAAGGACTGTGGAAACATTTGAGAGATTGCAGAAGTCGACAGACAAGACAATTCATAACATTGTTAGCCCATTTGAAAGTTCTCTTTTATGTGAAGAAAGTGATGATTCTGAATATGATGTATCCAAATCAAAAAAATCAAAAATAATTTTAGAATTAACACCTGATGAACTAATTAAAGCTACTTCTGCTGTTAGCGTTCGGTATAGAATTGGTGTTAGGCCCCAGACTGCTATAATTTCTGCTATCTGCAATAAAGCAGGTGTTGACTTGCATGAGATTTATTTATCAAGATCTTTTCTACATAGAAAAAGAATTATTGAAAATCTTGGTAACTATTATTCACAAAAATGAAGTTTAATGATAATAAAAATGATTAAGTTTATTTGTTTTGTTATCTTTATTATTCTAAATGTATAATTTAATTGATTTAGGAGAAACACTACGGCAGGATGTTGTTAATGTTTTAAAAGGAAAAAAACTTATAGTTCATTTTGATGGGAAACTTGTTAGACAGCTGGAAGAGGAAAATGATCTGACAGTTACATGTGAAAGAATTGTAGTTAGTGTAACCAGTCCAGATTTGGAATGCAGAGATGATTTTTTGCTTGGCATAGTACAGGCAGAAAATTCAAGTGGGTCAGAGCAGGCACATATAATCCTCAATCTCTTGGAATACTATGATATTGTCGGCAATATTATTGGTGTTTGCTGCGACACAACTGCATCCAACACTGGAAAATTTGCGGGAACAGTTACAATTCTATTAACTATCCTTAATACAAGTCTTGTCTGGTGCGTGTGTTGTCGCCATATTATTGAAGTACATATTAAACATTTTATGACTGCACTGACTGGCGCCGATACCAAGTCTCCGAGAAGAGAAATTTATGTTCGCTTACAGAAGGTTTGTTCAAAAATGGTTGACAAGATAGATACATCATCAATAAATCTGGTTAAGCTTAACTGGACTTCTTTAGAGATTAGATCACCTATTTATAATATAGCCAAGACAGCATTAAAGTTTGAAGAAACTGCACTAAATGAAAATATTTTCAAGAGAGGAGACTACAAAAATCTTTGTCAGTTGTTTGTTTACTACCTTGGTGGTTATGTTCCTGGTATAAAATTTTATCAGCCAGGAGCTTGTCATGAAGCAAGGTTTATGGCAGATGCAATTTATTTGCTTACATTAGAAATGACAAAAGACATCTCAAATATCATGAACGAAAAGGAGAAGGAGATGGTTACGACAGCTTCTTTATTTATATCTCTAACATACTGTCCTTGGTTTTTTAAAAGCTCTCTGAGTGTTAAAGCACCAGCTAATGATTTAGCAGCATTTAAAGACATGTTTGATTTAAGTAAAGAATATCCTCAGTTTTCTCAACATACTGAAAAGCATGCAAAATCATACCTGGTATTTAAGTCAGCAGCTTGTTGTAATGGCTTTAGTGGATGATGATGTAGAAAAAGTCGAGAAGAAGAAAATACTCCAAAACCTCTTACAGATTCCAGTTCCTAAAGAGTTCTTAAAAGGTAAGCCTAAAATGCCTATAATCACACTGTCTACAACACTATCAAATTTAGTTGGTGACCAGAGCTGGAATTTGTTTTGCCTAACCCAGGTTATCCATGACCAGGTTGAGTTAGCTGCACAAGGGGACATTACTGTTCTAGTCAACTTTAAATTTTTTGTTAAAAATATGGAAGTCACCAACAATTATGCAGAAAGAAATATAAAACTAATACAAGACTTTATTATGTCATACCGAAATGAAGATATGAAGCAGAATGTCTTGTTGGTTGCAAAAAACCATAGAAAAATGTTGAATACAAATCTGACTAAAACCCAGCTAAATCAGATTTGAAGTGCTTATGATATTTGTTCAACCTTTTTTTCTACGACTCTTCAGCATATGCAACATACATTTAAAATAAATTTTATTATAATAAATGTTTAACATGATTATTTTTCTAATATTTACAAGTTTCATCGTATAAATAGGAAAAAATCAAAAATTTGAAGTTTTACACCAAGCACTTGTAACCGTTTAAATTTAAAAATTCTAATATATTTGGTCATAATACGCCTAGTAACCAAGTTCTAGATAGCGCACATCTCTTTTTTCCAAATTTTTTTTTTTGGGACACCCTTCTGGTGAACTTTAATTTAGATAAAATCCAATTCTTTTCAGCCCATCGTTATTGCAATAATTTAGATCTTCCTATATTTATAAACGGTAATGTACTCAATGAGTTGTCTACCATCTTCTAGAATTAACTCTTATTCTAGGATTAACTCTTATTTTCAATCTTTCTTGAAAACTGTATTTTAAACTGTAAAAATTCATTGCAAAATTAGGATCTGTTAAGGTTGTATCTCTTTATCGAGCTTGATACTTTTTCATTCTGGATTCTATTCTTTATCTCTATAAATCTCAAATCCATCCTTGCATGAAATACTGTTGCCATATCTGGAGAGGATCTTCTAATGATGTCGTTTCTCTTTTAGATAAGGTGCAAAAACACATTGTAAACATAGTTGGACCTGCTCATGCAGCCAACCTCCAACCATTATCACATTGTTGTAAGGTTGATTCTCTTTCTCTTTTCTACAAATACTATAATGATCTAGCCTCTCTTGTGCCATTCATTCTTGTGTTACTCGTCATTCAAGTAAGTCTCATCCTTTTTCTGTAACTATTCCTAAGTGGTCCAAAAATTCATATTTGTCTAGTTTTTTTCCTCGAACGTCAGTTCTTTGGATTTCGCTTCCTTTATCTTGCTTTCCTGATTCATATAGTTTGCAATCTTTTAAGTCATCTGGCAATCTTGCTCTACAAACTTCATCTTTTCTCTTTCAGTAACTTCCAACTTTTATAGTGGTTGCTTGCTGCCTTGTTGGAAGCTAAGATTTTAGGAAAAGAAAAAAATAACCCTTTAATGTAAAGGTGGTAAGTTTGTGTAATTTTGTTTTGATGTTGTGTATTAAATTGATTCATTTTGTGTTGTATTTTTTTTAAATTAGGGTCATTTGTGTTGTTGTATTTAAAGTTTTTTTATTTTGATTTGGGTTATTTTTGCTGTTTTTTAATTAATATTAAACTCTTATTTTTGATGGAAGAAAACTTTTGTGGTTTTATCAACTTCACAAATCAGTATTAAATGAAATATATCAAATCTTTTAAAAATTATTTTTGAATATTTTTCTTTAGCTTAATCTTCGACTTGTGAATAGACTTAACCAATTAAAGAAAATTAGTAAAAATCTTCAAAAGGAGCGCTGGTAATATTTTAAATTATTTAAAAACAGTAAATAACTAGATATATTTAATTACTATGTTTGTTTCTATATTATTTATTTTTACTATATATTATATCATTAAGTTAAATATGTTTACAAATATTATATTTTTATTTAGTTAGAGTTTTCCCTTTTTTTTAATGGCCTTTTTTTTTTTTTTTTTCCCATTGGCTTTTTCCATTTTAGGTGAAGTTTTTAAATGCACAAAGTTATTTTTTTTACTCCCTAAAACTATTCAAGCTCTTCAATTAACTGTAAAAAGAAAAAATACAATGTTTTGAAATTAATTAGAAACAGTAAGAATTTAATCAAAATTTAATAAAAATGAAAGTGTATATATATATTTTTTTTTCAAAGGAAGAATTTTTTCCTAACAAGGCTTCAAATAACCACTTTTTAAGTTGTCAACAGAAAGCAAATAAGAGAATTAAAGAGAAGAACAGAAAACAAAGAAGAGAGTTAAACAAAAATATACTTAAAAAACTGTAAATTGTATGTTTGACGAAAGCGTGAATGTAGGAGTGAGTTCTAAAGCATTGTTTGAGGAAAAAGCTAGATGAAAAAAAGTTTTTCATACAGGGAGGAATAAAACATTTATTAAGGTAGAATAAAGTAAGAAATTCAAAGAGAATAAAGTGAAAATATGAGCATAACAAAAATAACAACTTAATATTAACTTTACAATGTATACATGGTTTAAAAATGTTTTGAAAAGACATTTTTAATAAAAATTGTTTATATTTTGCCCACCGTTAATAACAAAAATTTTTATTATTTTTTATTTTTTTATTTTTTTATTTGCATTCACTCCCAACAAGGCTGCAAGCAACCACTATTAAGTTGGGAGTTACTAGGAAAAAAAAGAACAGAGTTATAGAGCAAGGAAACGGTTGACAGAAGACTTGAAAAGTTGAAGGTTGTATGAGTCAGGAAAACATGAAGATGGGAGAGAGTTCCAAAGGGTTGAAGTGCGGGGAAAAAAACTAGATAAATAAAAGTTTTTAGAGCATGCAGGGACAGATACAGTAAACGAATGAGACTTAGCTGAATGACGAGTAAAGCGAGAATGAATTTTAGTTGATGGAACTAGAGATGATAACTCCTTTGAGCAGTGACCATGATAGTATTTGTAGAAAAGAGAAAGAGATGCAACTTTACGACGATGGGAAAGAGGTTTAAGCTTAGCAGATAGTCCAGGTCCAACAACATTTACAATGCGTTTTTGGACCTTGTCAAGAAGAGAAAGTGAATCGTTAGAAGAACCAGCCCAAATATGACAACAGTATTCCATAAAGGGATGAATAAGAGATTTGTAGAGGTAGAGAATGGAATCAGAAGTAAGAAAATGGTGAGCACGATAAAGAGAAGCAACCTTAGCAGAAGCTAATTTAGCAATCGATTGTATATATGGTTTCCATGAAAGGTCAGTAGTAAGCGATAATCCAAGAAGACGTAAAGAGGACGACTCAGTAAGAGGATTGCCATTCATTAATATAGGAATGTTGACCATATTACGGTAGTTGTTTGCAGTAAGCAACTGGGTTTTTTTAGAGTTGAAATTCACAAGCCACTGTGAACCCCAATGTATTACTGAAGTTAGATCGGATTCAAGATCAGCTGCTTGTTCTAGGCGATCGACAAGAGAAGACTTTTTGTCAAGACAGGAGTATAAAGTTGAGTCATCAGCAAAAAGAGCTACTTTAGATGAAAGGTTGTCAGGAAGATCGTTTATGTAGATAAGAAACAAAACAGGGCCCAGGATGGAACCTTGGGGAACCCCAGAAGTTACTGGAAATAAAGAAGGGTGTTGGCCTTCAAGGATGACTTGAAGGCCAACACTCTTAAACCGGTTAGAAAGAAATGATTTGATAATCTCAAAAAATTTTCCCAGAAACACCATATGAAGCAAGCTTATGGAAAAGACCAGCATGCCAAACTTTGTCGAAAGCTTTAGATATGTCAAGAGCAATAACCCTAGCCTCACCGCCTCCATCTAATGCACGATAAAATCTTTCAGAAGTTAAAGCCTTTAGTGCCAGCAGGATCAGTGGTGTTAGAGCCAAGCCATTCAGTGTGATGGGCATTAAAATCACCAACAACAACAATATTGGCAGAGGGGTAAAGAGAGAGGGCATGGTCAATTTGATCAGAGATAACATCTAAGAGAGTGCAATCATGGGAAGAAGGAGAACGATAAAGAACAAAGAGAAAGGTGATAGAGTGAAGAGGTGCTAGGCGAAAGCACATAAAAGAATGGTCAAAGGATTCGAACCTGATTTCACGACAAATAGGGGAATTAATGCGTATGTAAACCCCTAAACCTAGCATGTGACTATTGGAGTCTTTACGAATCAAAGGATAGTACCCATCAACACTGACATCTGAAGAAGGAATTGCAGAACTTAAATTTGTTTCACTGAGTGCAAGAAAGTCTGGTGAATTTTGCAGGAGGTAAGACTCAACTGATGGAAAGTTGCTTCGTAGACCGCGAATATTTGTAAAAGATATATTAAAATATTTAGGTGGTGGGGATGGTTTTTTAGGTTTTAAATTTTTGGTTACTTTGATCATGATTTGGGTTTAATGAGAACTTGACTCATTCATAGATAGAGCACAGCCTCCTAATCAATGAGCTATGCAGTTGTCTCAGTCCTGTTAATTAACCCTAAGCCGTGACATAGGGCTCCTTATGTGGCCTTGACAATGCACACCAAAAGCATTAACAGGGACACCATCCATGCGCAACATGACACTGTTAATACTCTGATATTTTGCAGCTGTTGATGGAATCAGCCTCTCTGAGAGCTACCGCAGAGTTCGGGAAACCTTACTACCAGCTGGCCTCAGAACCATTAAACTGAGTTTTAGAGCTGTACCCTCATATGGAGATAACAGGAAGAGTTGCATAGCCATTATCAAGGAGACATAAGCAAAATTCTATGAGTAGAGTCAAGGAGATCCAGCATTCATCATTCTAGACAGGAAACAATGTAACACAATTTACATCTACGCCAGCCTAATAGATGAAGAAGGGGTTCGAGGCTGGTTAGCAGAATTTTTCTGCTTACCCCTAAAGTATTTGCCTAGGAGGGCTTCTACAAGACAGTAGCTGGATGCAGTTAACATCTGCCCAAGATGAGTATTTTTATCGAGGCACCATCTCTAGCCATTACTCAACCAAGAGCCCCAAGGCAGGGGATGTTTAGCTGGATGCAGTTAACATCTGCGCAAGATGAGTGTTTTTATCGAGACACCATATCTAGCCTTTACTCAACCAAGAGCCCCAAGGCAGGGGAATTTTTAGTTTGAGTTTATTTCTCCTAGCCTTTGTATAAGAAGAGCACACTCTGCAAGGCAGCAGGGCTTGTGGCAGGTGGTACTGGGTTATGTGATACCAGTAGCAAGATTGATCTCGATTATCCTGACCTGACCTGGAGTAGTTAAAAGGAGTTACTTCCCGCAACAGTACTTTGAGAAAACCAGGCATGACATTTTGGAAGTGCATTAGGAAAAACACTGCATCTAACAAAATACAGGAGTCTAAGGTGAGTGTAGGTTTTGTAGTTGGAGTAAGTAGTTAGTTACTGAGCTCATGCTGCATTAGAGTATAAACAGAACACAAACAAACATAAATCAACTTACGGGTGAGTCAACACAGCGCCAGAGGTTCAGACAGAACACAAACATACATAAAAAACATAAAGTAACTTACGGGTGAGCGAACACCGCGCCAGAGGTTCAGACAGAATACAGACATGCATAAAGAACATAAAGTAACTTACGGGCGAGCGAACACCGCGCCAGAGGTTCAGACAGAACACAAACATACATATAACGTAGATTACAGGTGAGCTAATACAGTAACTAAGGCACCTCCAACTATATGAAGAAAAAAAAAAAAAAAAAATTTAATTTAATTTTAATAAAAATAATAATTGTAATTTGAAACTGAGACACAATTTTTATGTTTTGATTCAGTTTTTTGATGAAACGGCTTGCCATTTATAATGATTCTTACAGAGAAGCAAGATTCTTTGAAAATGTAAGTTAAGGTTGTAAAATTTAACTTTTTTTTTTTTTTTATCTACTATATTTATAATCATAAACTTTTCACTGAACTTTAAATTTTAGATTGAATTTTTAGCTGAAGGGTATTCTGAAAATAAAACACCTATTGTAACATCTTCTATCCCTAAGAAGCCTTTGAATGCATTTATCAGGTTTAAAAATTTCTTTATTTTTATTTTTTGATATCTATATATATACACATATGCTGCAACGACAATAAAAAAGGAAAAAAGGCAGTAAATTACCCATGAAAAATAAATGTGGTGCCCATGAAAAATAAATGTGGTGTGAAAAATAAATGACTGTTCAGGTAGGAAGCAACTGACGTTGAAATTTGACCAGGGGCTGGGCCAGATTTGATAAAATATAGCCAGAGCCGGGTTTGTGACCAGGGTTGCATAAACATTTATGCATCCTAAAGTATATTTTTCAAATTCAAAATTCATGTTTTATTTTGTATATATATATGCACATATAAACATCATTATGATCAACATGATCATCATAATCATCATTACCATCATCATCGTCATCATCATCATCATCATCATCATCATCATCATCATCAGGCTTTAGCCTTTATTTATGCTGTTTCTCTAATATAAACAATCTAGAGTATTTATTTTCCTTAACTGAAGCTCAATCATACAACATGTAAGACACTCTCTTCAAGTTTTCTTACTTCTATCTTTACCATTTAATCCTGAAGCTGCTATCTCTCTACATGCCTAAATCACTTTAATCCTCTCTAACAAACATTGTTCTACACAAAGTTTTTTTTTAATTTTTTTTATAACTCTTACACATCTTCATGTTTCCCTTTATGTATATACAGCCAACAACTTTTTAAATCTTCAGTTAACCATTTCCTAGCTTTTTAACCATATCCTCTATTTAAAGTAACTTATAACTTAATAGTTGCTTACAACCTTGTTGGAAGTAATTAAGAGTTTAAAAATGTGTAAATATATGCCAGTTTTTAATAAGTAGTAAATTCAAGTATAAAATTATAATATATAAAGTATTATAAACTTTTTTCTAGCCCCGGCTACCAACCCTAGTTAAATCTTGTGATTTTGCCATGGCTGGGTTTGCAGTTTCATTTTTAGCTGGAGCCGGGGTCCCACTCACTTCCTATGTCTAGGCTGCCTATCAAATCAGTATTTTACAGAGAGGCATGCAGGAAGGCACACCATTATATGACCTTGCAAATAATATTTTGCAAATAATATATATAAATCTTTTTTTATTTTCTCAAATACAAAATAAAACACATTTAAAGTTTTATATAATATACATAACATATGTAAAGACATTATACACTATAACAAACGAAAAGGAGCGAACTTTTAAAAAAGCTTAAAAACTTCTTAAAATATCAAAACGCCTGGAGAAATAAATGTGCATGTCATAAAAAAAATACTAAAATATATGTTATTTACTCATATATTATTGAGTCAGGTAATTAGTCCTAATAATCTGTGGATAGTCTAAAAAAAATGGTCTGAAATTTAATCAAGAAAAAATTTCAGTCCTGCTACTCCAGGTGCTGCTATGGTATGGAGGCAAAAAAAAACGCTTGTAGCTAGAAATAACTTTAAGATTTTAATTTAACTTTTTAAAAATTTTTCAAAGAAGATTTTTAAACTATATAAAAACAAAAGACTTTAAAAAAAGAAAAAAAAAGCTATAGATAAAAATTAAGGAGATATTGCCGCAATTTTCAAATGAAAGTAAAACTGTAAAACTTGATATATGTTTTAGTATGTTTTAACATTACATAATTTAAAGATATTTGCTTTTTAGATATTTGCAAACACTTTTGTTCACATTTTTTTATTAAAAAATGTGCTGCAACTTTCTTGCCATTACCTTGTTTGCAATGGCTGCCAAGAGTTCTGTGTCAAACATGCTTGAAGGGGAACTACTATTACTACTATCAAGTTCAGCATTATTATAAAGATATATATATATGTATATATATATATATATATATATATATATATATATATATATATATATATACATATATACATATATATATATATATATATATATATATATATATATATATATATATATATATATATATATATATATGTATATATATATATGTATATGTATATATGTGTATATATATATATATATATATATATATATATCAGGGATTATCTTTTTCAGGATATTTCCGGAATTACGGATATTTATTTCAACTTTTAGTTTTTTCCGGGTATCTAAAACATTTTCAATACATGCAAGTTGAGGTATATATTTTTGTAATAAATTTGTTTTTTAAGTGTTTTCACTCATCACTCATAGAAAAGTTATGAAAAATGTCAAAAAATGTTTAAAAAAACTTAGCTAAAAGCGAAATTAATAAAAAAATAAAAGAAAACAAATTCTGGATTTTTTTCGGATATTTTATATATATATATATATATATATATATATATATATATATATATATATATATATATATATATATATATATATATATATAATATTATTATCAGGCTTGGTCGGGAAGCGGAAGCGATCTCTCGCGAATACTGACCACGGAGATTATATTTAGTTGCGTAAAACTGGCCAGGTTTTTTAGTCGTTTTGAGAACATTTAAGTTTATGTACAAAACAAAATATTTTTGTTTTACGGACATACATGGAAACATAAAAAACTTGAATGTTCTCAAAACATCTTTGTGCGAAAGAATAAAAAAAATATTTGTGAACACTAAAAACCCGCCAAATTAATGAACAAACTAATTCTATTGGTTCAAAAAATACGCTGGTTAAGCGAAATAAAGTTCTAGAGTATTCTGTTAAAATGTTTTAGAAATTGTATTATTCACTATTTGTTACGTTTTGAGATTTCTAGCATTGTTTTAAGAATATATATTATTTGTTTACGAAAATAAATGTTTTAAATATATATTAATTAAATTGTTAAAATTTTAAAAGTTTATTATAAATCATAGATTTTATTAGTGTATTCTTATTTATTTTATTTTAAAAGAGATTGTATTCTTTATGTAAATGTAATTTTGTGTATTTGTTTTTTATCGTAATGTATCTTTTAAAACAATTTTTATGATTTAAACAAAGACTTACACAAATAATTGCATTTTCAATGAAGTTATAATCGTTAAAGTTAATAAAACTAATTATGTAACAAACATACAAGAAGTTTCTGGTTACTAAACACAAACGACGCATACAAAGTAACTCGCAGATGAACAAGCATCGCGCCTGAGGTCATGACAGAACACAAATATATATAGCAAAAAATTAGATATACAGAAAAGTTTCTAGATATTGGTTTACTAACTCTAATTATTTTCGCTTAAGTTGCCATTCTTAAAACTCGTTATACTTTTTTCTGCTTTAAATACTAATTAAAATTAAAAAGCCCACTCACTAAACATCATCAGCGATATTGTGAAGCAGTTTCGCTTCCTGGTCATTCATTTTTAACCTTTTTAGTTGATTTCTATCTTGATAATTTAATTCCTATAGTAATTCAATGATTTAATTATTTCATTTGTTTATCTTACTAAGAAGAATCGCTTCAAATATGTTAAACTTTTCAAACGAAAACATAAAATAGGTATTAAAAAAATAAACTTTTTTATCTATAAAATAGTTTAGCTTAAGTAAAAAACTTAGTTAAATAAAGAATATTTGTTTCCCTTTTAATCAATCGTAAGTTGTTACTTTATATAAAAAACATCGCTTAATTTTATTAAAAAAATTGTAAAAGAGCGATATTTGTTCTAAATGTAATTTATTTAGCTTTAAGTTTTTTTGCGTTTAAAGATATTTTATTTTCCTATTTTTTTTTTTTGTTTTTTTTTTTGTCATTGTCTCTCATCAGTTCAACAAATCTTTGTCGCTTTTTTTTTTTTTGCCTTTTTAAAATGTTCTCAAAACGGCTAAAAAATCTGGCCAGCTTTTCGCAACTAAATATTATTTATTTTATATTATTTGGTCAGCAATCGAGAGCGATCGCTTCCACTTCCCGACCAAGCCTATATATATATATATATATATATATATATATATATATATATATATATATATATATATATATATATATATATATATATATATATATATATATATATATATATATATATATATATTGTTCATTATAATTTAGAAATAATAATGAAATTTCACAATTATTCCTTATATATATATATATATATATATATATATATATATATATATATATATATATATATATATATATATATATATATATATATATATATATATATATATATATATATATATTATATAACAATAAAGTCTAAAGTTAAAATCTAATTACTTTAGAGCTACAAAAATTTAAAAATTTAATTCGACTGATTTTACAAGCAATTAAATTGTATAGAGAATTTCTTAAATTCGTCATAAATGCGTATGTAAAAGATATTATGTTAAGTTACAACATAACTCATTAACTTAAACTAAGAGTACAAATATTCTTTTGGTTTAATATTTTGCAGGTATTGTCAGGAAATTCGAGATGAAGTAGATGAGCAAAATCCTGGAATATCTCGTCAAGATCTAACAAAAGTAATTTCCTATAAATGGAATGCTATGTCCTCATCTGACAAAGAGGTAAATTTGTTGCTAACTTTTATACTTTTAAATGGTATTAACAGGTATTAACACTTTTCATGTTGTTGTATTTAACAATTAGATTTTTGTAGTATAGAAGAAATAAATTATGCTTTATTATTTCATGTTGTTGTGTTTAACAGTTAAGTATGTATAGTAGAAAATATAGGAATAAAGTATAGTAGAAAAAAAATAAAGTATGCTTTTTGTGTTTTTCATGTTGTCATGCTGTTTAACAATTAGATTAGAAACTTTTAAACCTTATAAAATGAAATTTAGGGGTCCTTTATTTAAAAAATATTTTTTCAGTAGAAATGTTTCATATTTCTCTGTGGCCTTTCATTGCTGTATGGTTCAAGCATTACAGATTACCTGCATCAAGTATAACAAAATAAATTTCTGCTCTGAGCATGTCATGTCAAGTTTTTGTATTTTATATTTCTTGTTGTCATGTTTAATAATTAGATTATAAACTTTTAAACTATGTAAATAAAGTTTAGGGTTCCTGATATTCGTTACTTTTGAGACTAGAGTCTATGGTCTCTGGTTACTATTTAATTTAATAATAATTTTGAATTGAGAAATGATTGATTTCAGGTTCATCGAAGACTAAACTTTTTTCCTTATAAATTTTTTTTTCTTAGTTATCAAGTTCCTCCAATAAGGACTAAAGGTCTTATCTTAGAGCACAGCAGAAGAGTGCTAAAAAGTTAAATGCTCTTCTGCCGTGAAAAGTACCAAAAGTGGTTTACGTCATAAATACAAAAATCACTTTTTTGTACTAATAATGCTTCTATGGCCAAACCAGGGCATTTTCAAAAAATCACGCATGAAAACCTGTTATGTTTTGTCTATTATTTTCATTATAATATAACTGGCAATCTACAATTTACTCTCATTTAATTCTAATCTATACAAGTATTTTGTAAACAAAGAATGGTATTAGTGATGGTACATTAGTGATGTTATCAAATAATGAATTAAATATGAAATTAAATCACACACAGAACAGAAAATTTTTATTTTAGTCAATAGATAAACTTTAATTTCTTCGAAAATATAAGTTTTATAAGTGTGCTGTTTTTTTAAAATAATATTTTTTTATATTAGAAAAGATTTTTAGAAAGTTAACGGGTTTCTCTATGTATTATAGAGCCACAGCAATTGTTTAAATGTAGTTCACGTATGGTTACGCACAAAAGTTTACGTACAGAAAATACTTGTGTGTGTTCCAGATAAAAAATTATATATTTTACAACTCATATTTAATATATTTTATATAGGATATAGCAGCCATTGAATATTTCTAGCTAAAGTATAGTATGTTGGAAAACCATTATATATTTTACAAACTTATTGCAACATCAACACAAAAAAATATAAAATAGTATATATATATATATATATATATATATATATATATATATATATATATATATATATATATATATATATATATATATATATATATATATACACACATATACATTTAATCATTGAGGTAGCCTAAAATATGGTAGAGATATTTTTGTTATAATTGTTCTTTAAGATAGCCATAATAGTATGCATGTTGCTTTAAGTCCCAGCTTCTTTCAGGTCCCAGCTTCTAAGTATAAAAACAAAGAAAAAGAATCAATCACGCACAGAAATCGAAATGCCTAGCATGAATTGAATCTTGGACCTCTTAATTCTAATGCAATCACTCTTACTTCTAGGCTTAAGATTTAGGTTTACACTACAATTATAAAACAGTGTTGCTTTGGCTATGGTGCAACTCGTTTTTCTATGCTTTAAATTTAGTTATTTCAAAAGCAGAAAACTTAATGCATATATTGCAATATTTTGTATAAAATATTTATCTCTAATTTTTTGATTTTTCTGTGCTCCTATGCATGCTGTACCTTATAATTTTCTCTGTGCTCCTATGCATGCCTTATGATTTCTTCTGGCTATGTTAGCTAGAGAAAATCATAAAGCATGATATATAACCTCCTCATTATATTATTATGGTAATTTTAATATGGCTAAATATTTGAAACATTTGAAATTTTAAGTTTTATTATTTTATATATAAGTTAATTTAAAATTATGGAAATATCTATATAATGAAATCAATAAACCGGGATCCGGTCTACATTAGGTATATATTGGTGATATATTTATTTTGTAATTAATTGTTAAATAAATCATAAAAGTTTAAATAATTAAACTAATAATAGTTAATATGTACATAGTAAAAGAAAAAATTTAGACGAATTTATATTTTATCTTTAAATTTTTTTAGATTTATTTTGATTTATTTGATAAAGATAAGCAACGATACGAGGAAGAAATGAAACAATACACACAACAGATTGCTCAACAAAATACTGAAAAGACCGGTAATTTAATGAACATTGATTTTAAAAACTCTGGATCATCGAGATCGTCAAAGATTGAAAATATTTCTCTTTCGAGTTCAAATAATGGTTTATCTTTTGATGACGATAACAATGCTTCAACGTAATATAAATTCATTAGATTTTATCAACACTTTTAAACTTTCTACTATTATTAATCACAATGAGTCACTAAAATGATTGTAAAAAGACTCATTAATCTGAATTAACTATTTTCATTAGTGCTGAGATGGTTTAATAATTTTATAGATGTCTTACATTTATTCTTGTTATCTAAACTTTAGGAGTTAATTTTAAAAAATTATTTTAAAAATTAAGTTGTGCTAACTTCTAATCTTTTCTTTTTTTCTTTTTTTTTTCATGACTTTCTTCTAGCTAATGAAGAGATAAGACGTGTTTTTATTTTGGCTTCTCAGTATATACAAGAAATCTTAGAATTAGTGAAAGTTTGGTTTTATCGTTTTGGTTAGACCTTGTTTCGATGATTATATAGATTTGTATTAAAATTACATTTTTGTTTTGTTTTGTTTTGGTGATGATGGAAAAAATAAAAAAAAAATATAATTTTTTTGAAGTAGAAAGTTAAAAATTAAATGACAAAAATTTCCATTATTGAAATTAAAACCTTTTATTTATGTCAGAGTTTACATCGTTAAAATTATTTGCACCGTTCAACATCATCAACAAACAACATCATTAACAAATTTTGACAACAATGGAAAAATTAAAAGGAAACTTTAAAAATTATTAATCTAACCATAATAGTGCGCAGACACAATCTAACCATAATAGTGCGCAAATACAATCTAACCATAATAGTGCGCAGATACAATCTAACCGTAATAGTGCGCATACACAATCTAACCATAATAGTGCGCAGACACGATCTAACCATAATAGTGCGCAGACACAATCTAACCATAATAGTGCACAGACACAATCTAACCATAATAGTGCGCAGACACAATCTAACCATAATAGTGCGCAGACACAATCTAACCATAATAGTGCGCAGACACAATCGAAACCATATGTGTAGTATAACCATATGTGCGCAGGCACAATCGAAAAATCGTTGAAAGGAATTAAGGCATAAAGGCAAAAACAACATCAACCCCCATGACAAATGTTGTTCATACAAAAAAAAGGTCATATGTCACATTTTATAAAAACAGAACTAAATTATTTTTTTAAATATATTTCTGGATTTAAAAATCAGAGAAACATCTCTCCATCGTCGTAATTTTCCAATTCTTTTTCCTTTTTGATGCCCCATAGGAAATAGACTTTTTTAAGATTTTTTAAGTTCTAAAATATACATTCATACCTTGTTCAAACGTACCTTGCGATTACATCTTTTGGTAGTGCTTCTGGCGCAATATCATTATCGGTCATTACAGGGGTGATTATTTTGTCATGTAGCTTTATTCAGTTACATCTACACTTTTTCAAAATGTAATTGAAAACTTGGAAGTTGTAATTAAGAAAAGTTAGATGTAATTGAGAAATACAACATGTAATTTATAAGTCGCAATATGTAATTAAGAAACACAACTTGTAATTAGGAAATTTTAAGATACATTTGAGAAACCTAACATTTAAATAAGAAATCGCAATATGTAATTAGAAAAACAAAAGTTGTAATTAAATACATAAATAAGAATACATTATTTGTAATTGCGAATTCACAATGTAAGCTTAAAGGGCATTATAAAAGACTTTCTAGGACATGCATTTTAATAATATCAAATTTAGCATTTGTATGCATCAGTAATACAGTAATAGAATTGAAAGATCGTTGTGTTATTTGTCAATATACTATGAAGAAAAAGTCTGGTATTAAATTGAATCCGTGCAAGCATTTTTTACCTCCAAATTTTTTACATCCTCTTCTGGAACAACCAAAACTGCTTTGTCCAACTTGTAGACATGAAATACAACTGAACAAGTTGAAAGAAAATATTATTTTTTATCTTCATCGAATGATAGAAGAAGAGTTATTGAATGTGTTGAGCGAAATGACGATTGGGTGACTCTGGCGCAAACTTTAGGTGTCAAATGTAAGGCAGAATACAATTAGGTCCACAGCGAAAATTTAAATTTTATTGGAAGAGGTATAGTTACCACCAAAACTACAAATGCCTTTTTCATCACTTTTTATTTTATTGATAGTATATTAATATTTATTGAAAACCAAACTCTACAGCCACTTGGCCAAATTAGGATCCAACTTAAAATTACAAAGTAAGCTAAGACAACAAAATTAAAAATACAAAGAACTTCTTTCTGATAATCTAAATTATAAACTTTTCTCAATTACAACTTTTATCTTCTCAATTACATCTTACGATTTCTTATTTACAACTTTCATGTTCTAAATTACATTTTACGTTTCTTAATTACAACTTTCAAGTTCTCAATTACATCTTGAAAAGGTGTAGTTAAAGTCATCAATTAGTGACTATAACACTTTTGGACAATGCGCTTACAGGCAATGGTTAGTAAGTAAGCAGTTTTATCAGTAGGTGGAAGTTTCTCTGGCGATATATATATATATATATATATATATATATATATATATATATATATATATATATACATATATATATATATATATATATATATATATATATATACATATTTATATATATGTGTATATATATATATATATATATATATATATATATATATATATATATATATATATATATATATATATATATATATATATATATATATATATATATATATACACACACACTGTGTGTGTGTGTGTGTGTGTATATATATATATATATATATATATATATATATATATATATATATATATATATATATATATATATATATATATATATATATATATATACACACACACTGTGTGTGTGTGTGTGTGTGTATATATATATATATATATATATATATATATATATATATATATATATATATATATATATATATATATATATATATATATATATATTTTCCGTGATAAATATTTTTTATATAAAAATGGAATTTAACATTAAAAACATCGAAGAAATAATAACAATAAGAGTATATTGAAAGAAACGAAGAAATTATTAATTGAACAAGAAAAAAACTTTACTGCATTAATAAGTTCAAACTTTAAAATAATAACAGCATGACTTGATAAAATGGATGTTGAAATAAACAATAATAAATTAAATATACAAAACAATAAGAAAGATGTCAACAACATAAAAGATAGTTTAAACTTTCAGGAAGAGAAGATCATGAATGAATTTTTGTCAATAAAATCTAAATATGACTGTGAAATAATAACATTAAAAAAAATAATCTACTGACCAAGAAAATCGCTCTAGGAGAAATAATTTACGCATTGATGGCATTAAAGAAACCCCGAATGAAAACTGGAGTTATTGTAAGAGGATTGTAAAGGAAATTTTTAAAACTAAACTTGACATATTAGATGAAGTAGTAGTGGAACGAGCACATCAAGTCGGTTCGTTCAATAACAGCAAAACACCAAGATCAATTGTGTTAAAACTACTCAACTATCAAGGTAAAAACAGAATTTTAAATTCAGTAAACAAACTCAAAGAATCGGGAATATATGTTAATAAAGACTTCGCACAAGAAACGATAGAAGAAAGAAAAAGGTTATGGGAAAAAGTGAAAAAACTACGAAATGAAGGTAAATTCGCAGTAATAGACCTTTCCCATAAATCGGCGAACCCGCAATGCATTGTGGTAGTTGTATAAATTAAATCAAAACAAATGTCAAAAAGCTTAATAAACAGTAATCTCTCAGTGTTTGTTCTGTACCTATTTAAGGAAACAAAAAGTGTTGTGCCGACAATTATTTGAAAAATCTTTAAACGGCTACCTGTTCATTATAAAAAATCCAACTTGCCCTAATTTAATACCTAAAATAACACCAAGACATTATTGAGAATTACTAGTTAACTGCTAATTCTTATAGAAATAAATTCTAAAACAAGAAAATGAAAATCTTAAATCTTAAATTGAAGTTATCCTAAATTAGGAAAAACTTTAAAAAAAATAACTATATCAAAGCTCAAAGAAAAAAATTTCATTTAGAATATACAGGTTTTAAAACAACAATGAACATATCAAATTTTACAAAGGTTTTAAAATGATGAAATATTTAATGTTGTCCAATTTTTAACAACAACAGCAAAAAAGACAATACAAGAAGCATTTTAAGTTAACTTGCAAACTTATTTTACATGAAATATTTTTGCTAAAAAGAACTTGAAATAAAACTCTGTTTTCTCTAAAAAAATTATTAACAAAGAATATTCTATAAACCCGCATTTTAATCATTCGTTTGGTGTTCAATGATTTTTCTCATACACAATAAAAGTTTTAGTTTCTGTTAGTTGTTTTACCGTTTTTGTATTTAGTACCATTGCTAAATTTTGTATAAAAATCTTGATCATTGTAGGGTGTATACGAATACTGCACCGGACCACACCGGACCACACTGGAGTGTAAAAAACAATTTTGGTATTGCGAAATATGCATAAGTTACATTCGTAATATATAAATGCAATAAAAATTTACACAAAAAAAAAAAAAAAAAAAAATTGAATAATTTAAATTTTTATAACAATTTTAATTGTGTACCTACAAGTAAAAATATGAATTTTAGTCAGAATTTTATCGCATTCGTGTATTTCATTCACGCGCGCGCACCCCTATCATATATTTATGTTTTTGATTTTTTTGAAAAAAGATTTAACTTTTATAAATATGTGTTTTGATTTAAGCGGAGTGGTAGGCTTTTTTACGAGGTTTATAAGTTATTCTTTTAGACTGCTTGCCCTAACCAAAAACCCTTTGCACCTGCATGTACACTCCACTGCGCCTATCCCTATTTTAGTCAGTCGAAGCATGAATCACAGCCCCTGTTGCTATTTTTAATTTAAACTTTTATTGTATATATGTATCACAAATATAACTTACGTATGTTTCGCTTTTCCAAAATTGTTTTTTATACTCCGGTGTGGTCCGTTGTTAGTCCGGTGTGGTCCGGTGTGATCTGGTGTGGTCCGGTGTGGTCCAGTGTGGTCCGGTGTAGTATTCGTATACACCGTCATTGCATTCTTCTATAATTGTTAAATCTTATTTTTGAAATTATTAATGATTTATGTACTTTTTTCACTTACTTTATGTAGTTTTTCCAGCACTCAATACACTATCAGGGATACAACTCAACCACATTTTAAGTTTATATAATAAAAAAATGTTTTCATATAGTTTTATAGACTTTTACACCATTTTTTTTTGTATATTCAACTTTTTTTCTACATTGATATTTTATATTCTTGCATATTTTTGTTTCAATTTGATGCTGCAAATTCTTTTTTTCTTTCTCTTTACTATTAATTTAAAATTGTTTAAATGTATAACACATACTTGAAAAAACTTAAATATAACTCTACAATTTTTTGTTTAGAAGACAAACGAGTAATTGACTTTATTTGTGAAATTTTCAAAT